TTAAAACAGTCGGGTACCGAGCACTTCATTCCACTAAATTATATTTCTGGCTAGATAAACTCGAGCATCGCCCAATATAGGTGTTTCTAGTCGCCGTTATTAGCTCATATTTTACAGTTCTGACGTTCTTTGATACCCGTTTATCCCATACCTTTAACGATACTGTAATCCGACTTTTGGGCTTGTTTAGATATTAGAGTATGCCGATCATGCTGTTAAAATCTGTCGATCCAGGGGTTACAGTTAGTTTAACAGGATCCCTGGGAACATTACCATGATTAGTTTTCCAAAAGAACGGGTGTCTTCGAACTTTATGCCAGTCACTTTGAATTTGTGCCGATTTCGAGCCTCTGTCTCCTGATTTTCAATTTTTTAGCCTACACTGTCACCATCCACACAGACCCACTGGATCCCCAACGACCTCTCTGTTTGACTCACCACCCAAAGCTGTCTGTACTGGATGCAAACAAAATAGGTTCAATAGTTAAGGTAAATGATTGTTGGGATGTATAATTATCTAATTTTTTTGCTTTTCATCCATTCATCCAAGTTATTTTTAAGTGGTTTTGATGAAAGCTAATTATAAAATGTAACACAACCGGATCTGTTTAGTAGACATACCTAGAAATATCAGGCAACAACAGCCTCCACTGTAGCTCCTGACTTCCCCAAAATTTAGACTATCTATGGTCGAGCAAACAGACCGATTTTCCTACGCCTTACAGGCCATGCATCCTGAATAAGATTTAAAAGGTTTTTTTCACGAATCCTTAAACGCGACTTTGAATTGTCTATCTTACTGTCCTATCGTCGCTAGCACAGCTTTAGCGGAAAGGCCATCCAAAAACTTAATAAAATGGTTTATTTTCCTAGGGTGACCATCTTTCCCTGTCCAATCTGCTTTCAAGGACTGTCGTTGTTCGAGCAGAGAGGATTTTAAAGGTGAATCTTTTTGAATCAATTGTCTACTTGATAGCTAAATGTTCCGTACGTGTTGCTCCTAGTGTTGTTTTGTTACAATTCTCACGTTTATATTGGTAATTGGTTGCCTGCTCGTGCCCTTTGTTACCCATACGGACCTTGTTTGCTTCGTGAAGCTAATAGATCGGTGTGCGCCCATTACTTATTGAATAAATACCTGATCTGCAGCAACAGAGAAGGACAGGTGGCGAGGCACCGATGAACTTTGGTTCGATTAAGCGCTAATGACCCATCTGGTAGACCCCAACGGTGGACCAACTGCGCCAGATGCGTCTGTGCCTATGCTTGTGTTTCTGGTCCCAACGGATGGTCAGGGTTATGATTGGCTGAATGAAGGCAGAATAAACCCGAGACAGTACTCTATCGATCCATCCGCATTCTCTATCGTCCCTCCTCGCCGCTAAATATATATGTATATATGAATTTGAAAACAGGCATCCCAAGAATCATAATTCGAAAGAAATAAGCTCTTTGGGAAAGATTAACAAGTTTTATTGTAAATTTTCGATCTTGGTTCCCCGAGTCAACAGTCAACATTTAAACATGCCGAAAAAATCGATTTTGCCTTGTCATTCCTGCTGGTGTATTGTTCTGATTGGCTAATGCCTTTTCCATTTTTCCTTGAGGCTGTTGTACACCGTATCCAATTCTACGTGTCGATTGATGCATGCGTTATCAGAATGGATGGCCTCTAAAAATTCACGGCCCTTTTTAGATGAGCAGACACCTACAATGCGGGTCCTGTCCTAGGCGAATTTGTGTCCAGTTTCCAACGTATGCATGGCAACTTGGGACAAGTAGTCTCGCCTTTTTACGGCCAACTGATGTTCCTGTATTCGTGTAGAGGCCGATTTCCCGGTTTGACCACAGTAAACCGCATTACAGGTGTTGCATGGTATCTTATAGACGACTTCCTTCTTATATAAATAGCCAACCCTATCCTTAGGGTGCACAAGCTGGTTACGAAGTGTAGTCGTCGGCTTGTGCGCCACATGTATCTGGTGCTTCCTCAGGTGTCTTTCAACTAGTTCGGACACATTCTTAATGTGTGGAAGTGTTCGCCAGTTTTTAGGTTTGGGCGCCTGACCGGAACAATCTAGTTCCTTCTCTTTTTCTTTTACCTCCTTTCGTCGCATGCATCGGTGTACAAAATACCTAGGATACCCATTCTGGGAAAACAGTTTGAACAAATAATTCAGTTCTGTTTGATATGTTTCGTTGTCAGAGCAGTGGGTTCTTGCTCGGTTAAGGAGGTTGTTCACGGCACTCCGTTTGTGAGAGATCGGGTGATTGCTCTCGTAATGCAAAAGAACTTCCGCGTAGGTTTCTTTGCGGTAAACCGAAGTGTGAAATGTCCCGTCGGGCTTTCTCTGTACGAGGACATCAAGAAAAGGGAGTTTGTTGTCAGACTCTTTCTCGAGTGTGAATGTGATTCCTGGAAGTGTTGAGTTAATAATATTGTGGAGTATTTCCAGTTGATCACTTTTAACAATGACAAACGTGTCATCAACATATCGTATTCATAATTTGGGGTTAACTAGTGGTAAGGCGATAGCCTCTAATTTCTGCATCGTGACTTCTGCCAGAAAACCAGAGATGGGTGATCCCATAGGGGCTGCCTTCAGTTGTTGATAGTATTCCTGTGCAAATGAAAAGTTCGTTTCTAGACAAAGGTCTAAGAGTTCAAGCAAAGCGGATGCCGGGATATCCATGTCGTAGTACTGGAGACGTTCCTCTGTACATTGTCTTGCTAAATCCAATGGTATTGAGGTGAACAGAGAAACGACATCGAGGGATACCATTATTTCATCTGCTGGATACGGTGTACAACAGCCTCAAGGAAAAAAGGAAAAGGCATTAGCCAATCAGAACAATACACCAGCAGGAATGACAAGGCAAAATCGATTTTTTCGGCATGTTTAAATGTTGACTGTTTTGCACACTTACTTCACGTCTGAAGACGACTCGGGGAACCAACATCGAAAATTTACAATACAACTTGTTAATCTTTCCCAAAGAGCTTATTTCTTTCGAAATATGTATATGTATATTTGAAATTAAATACGTTCTTTGGGAAAGGGAGAAAACTTTGCCAACAGAAGCGAAGAGACGAGTCCCAGGAAGCAGTCTTGAAGAAGAAGACACGATCGCCGGAACAGGAGCTTTATTAGCCTGGCGTTTCGGATTCCTGCTCGAATCCATCATCAGAGACAAAAGCAGATAAGGGTTCTTCATGCATATGTAAAAGGGACGAAAGGCCTAACCGCACAGCCACCAAAGTTTGGCGAGCGCTTCCACATGCCAAGAACGTTTCGGAAGCTGTTGGCCGCCTTCTCGCACCGCTTGGGGTTGGAGTTGCACACAGACCAGAGGCGACGATCAGGCGTCAGTTACTGAAACCGAAAGTCCCACTGCCACGGCGATAAACGTCTTGAGTCGTTTATCGTATCTGGTGCAGTTGCGGACATAGCAACTACGTCGGAGAAACCGGAAGACAACAACGAACGCGAATGTCCGAACACGCTGCAGCGGTGTGGAAAAATGACGCTATCTCTCAAGTTGCGGCTCATTCGACGGGTTTCGGCCACACATTCAAATTTGACGAGGCCGAAATTCTCGCAAGAGGTGACAACTGCGTGAGCCGATAGCTGCTTGAGTCATGGTTTACTGGCCCCCAGTCAATTAACAAGTGCAATGATCTTCCCATTCAATACAGCGTGCTGAGACTTCGTCTAGGCGGAGTAATTGGTCACGTGGGGAGCGCACAGGTGAACACTCTTCCCAACACCCGGGCCAGCGCGTCAGATGGTCGAGCAATCATCACACTAACATCTAACGCACGTGATGAAATTGCAGCAATTAACGACGCGAATGTCGGCCATCACGCCACGTGCAACGATCCCTGATGAAGGTGGGAGCCGTAAATATTCATAGGTATGCGGTAGCCTGGCTACTGCATCCTATAAATACTGCAGCCGCATACGCATGAACCACCCTTATCTGCTTTTGTCTCTGATGATGGATTCGCGCAGGAATCCGAAACGTCAGGCTAATAAAGCTCTTGTCCGGGCGATCGTGTCTTCTTTCTCAGGAGAAAACTTTATTGGGTAAATTTCCGACGTCGGTTCCCCGTGTCGTCGTCAGAATAGAGTAAATGTGCAGAAAACAATTAACATCTCAAACGTGCTGCAAAATCAATACTCATTTGGTGCTTCAGCCAGTAAGCGGCCGTCGTGTACGTCAGTCCGTATTGATCGGCCTTTGTCTCTTCCACTTTTCTCTGAGATTTTTTTACGTGGCATCTAACTCGATATCCCTTTTGATGCATGACTCATCGGAGTGCATGGCTTTAAGAAACTCGGCCTTTTTTAGATGGGTAAAATCCGACGATGCGAGTTTTGTCCCATGCGAAAGTGTGCCCAGTATCAAGAGTGTGCATGGCCATTTCAGACAAGTGGTCTCGCCTCTTAACTGCAGGTTGATGTTCGTGGATGCGTGTAGAGGCACATTTTCCCGTTTGGCCACAATATACGACATCACAGGCATTGCATTGGGTCTTATAGACGACTTCCTTTCTATCAAGGTAGCCAACCCTATCCTTAGAGTGTACAAGCTGAGTGCGTAAAGTAGTCGTCGGCTTGTACGTCACTTTTATTTGGTGTTTCCGCAAGTGTCTTTCAACAAGTTCGGACACATTCCTGATGTAAGGAAGGTTTCGCCAAGTGTTTGCTGTGGGCGCTTGACTGGAACTATCTAGTTCCTTTGTTTTTATCTCTTGTTGTCTCTTGCATCGACGTACGAAATCTCTAGGGTAATCGTTCTGGGAAAATAATTTAAACAGGTAGTTTAGTTAAACTTTGTAGCTTTCTTCATCATAGCAATGTGTTTTTGCTCGATGTATCAGACTTTTGACAGTACTCCGGTTGTGAGAGATCGGACCGTTGTTCTCATAATGTAGAATTATTTCCGCATATGTTTCTTTGTGGTAAACGGACGTATGTGATGTTCCGTCAGTCTTGCGTTGTACGAGAACATCTAGAGATGAGAGTTTATTGTCAACTTCTTTTTTGAGCGTGAATTTAATTCCTGGAATGGTTGAATTGATTGTGTTGTGGAGTATTTCTCGTTGATCTGTTTTAACGATGACAAACCTGTCGTCTACATATCGTACCCATAATTTAGGGTTAACTAATGGACGAGCTACCGATTCCAATTTCAGCATTGTCACCTCGGCAAGGAAGCCAGATATGGGTGATCCCATTGGAACACCATTTAGTTGTTGATAATATTGGTGATCGAACAAAAAATTGCTTCCTAAATAAAGATCCGTAAGTTCAAGTAAGGCAGCTGCAGGAACATCCGTGTCATAGGAATTTAGGAGTTCATCTGTGCATTGCCTTGCGAAGTTGAGTGGTATGCAAGTGAATAAAGAAACGGCATCAAAGGAGACCATTATCTCCTGCGCGGAAATTGTGGTTCCTCTCAATTTCTCTAGGAACCCCATGGAGTTCTGGATGGAAGTTTCACAGTCTTTCGTAAGTGGGTGGAGTTGGTGGAACGGACTCTTAGAAATTTTGTAATTGGGTGCATCGATTAATGATACTACCGGTCGCAGTGGTACCTCAGGTTTGTGAACTTTGGGCAATCCGTAGATCTTGGCGATGGTTGGTTCGGATTGTTTCAGAGAGTTTGCAATGTCACCTGGCAGTTTCTTCGTTCCCGTGAGGCGCTTCAGCACTTTATCAATCGATGAATTCTGTCCCTTCGTAGGGTTCGTGGAAAGGGGCTTATTCGTCGAACTATCTTCTAAATCAGACTACAATGAGAAGATGCTGTCACGTTTCGAAGATAGTTCAACGTATAAACCTCTTTCCAGGGACCCTACGAAGGGACAGAATTCATCGATTGATAAAGTGCTGAAGTGCCTCACGGGAACGAAGAAACTGCCAGGTGACATTGCAAACTCTCTGAAACAATCCGAATCAACCATCGCCAAGATCTACGGATTGCCCAAAGTTCACAAACCTGAGGTTCCACTGCGACTGGTAGTATCATTAATCGATGCACCCAATTACAAAATTTCTAAGTGGCTATTCCACCAACTTCACCCGCTTGCGAGAGATTGTGAAACTTCCATCCAGAAGTCCATGGAGTTCCTAGAGAAATTGAGTGGAATCACAATTTCCGCGGATGAGATAATAGTCTCCTTTGATGTTGTTTCTTCATCGGACCGAAGTTCATCAGCGCCTCGCCACCTGTCATTATCTATCGCTGCAGATCAGGTATTTATTCAATCAGAAATGGGCGCACACCAATCTATTGGCTTCACGAAGCAAACAAGGTCCGTATGGGTGACAAAGGTCACGAACAGGCAACCACCTACCAGGCCGAAGTCGACCAAGTCATAATACCCGATCTGCAGCAACACAGGATGACAGGTGGCGAGGCACTGATGTACTTCGGTTCGATGAAGTGCTTATGACCCATCTGATAGACCCCAGTGGTGGAGCAACTGCGCCAGACGCGTCTGTTCGCATGTTTATGTTTCTGGTCCCAGCTGTTGGTCAGGCTTATGCTTGACTGAATGAAGGCACAATAAGCCCGAAGCATTACTGTATCAATCTACCCGCATTCTCTGTCGTCCCTTCTTGCTGCTATTATGACTTGGCCGACTTCGGCCTGGTAATTGGTTGTTTGTTCGTGACCTTTGCCACCCATACGAAGCTTCCTTGCTTCGTGAAGCCAATAGATCAGTGTGCGCCCATTCCTGATTGAATATATATATATATATATATATATATATATATATATAGGCAGAATGGTATTACCGACAAAGACAAGGGAGACTGGAATGGCCATTTCTGGCATATTAGCCGTCGTCAGCCAGCCATACCCAAGCCCGAAGTGTGGAACACCCGAGCCTCGAACTCGCGACCTGTTGGTTTAGAAGTCCACGCCTCTACCCACCGGGCCACGAGCCCGTTGCCCTGTCGGTTTTCGATCGGGAATATACAGTGTTAGGGGGCGCTCACCGATCGTTCATACGGAACTCACTCGTTCCGTTGTGCCTTAAGGGCTCTCTGTCGAGCCCAACCAGCAGCCGCACACCGGCGCATGATACATAGGCAGAATGGCATTACCGACAAAGACAAGGGAGACTGGAAGGGCAATTTCTGGCTTATTAGCCGTCGTCAGCCAGCCATACCCAAGCCCGAAGTGTGGAACACCCGCGCCTCGAACTCGCGACCTGTTGGTTTAGAAGTCCACGCCTCTACCCACCGGTAATACCCATCGGTGATACCATTCTGCCTATATATCATGCGCCGCTGTGCGGCTGCTGGTTGGGCTCGACAGAGAGCCCTTAAGGCACAACGGAACGAGTGAGTTCCGTATGAACGATCGGTGAGCGCCCCCTAACACTGTATATTCCCGATCGAAAACCGACAGGGCAACGGGCTCGTGGCCCGGTGGGTAGAGGCGTGGACTTCTAAACCAACAGGTCGCGAGTTCGAGGCTCGGGTGTTCCACACTTCGGGCTTGGGTATGGCTGGCTGACGACGGCTAATAAGCCAGAAATGGCCATTCCAGTCTCCCTTGTCTTTGTCGGTAATACCATTCTGCCTATATATATATATATATGCAGATAAGGCAGAGGTCATGTGACCAAAGCCGAACACTGTCTCACCGATGCACCCGCGAAGCTGAATGCTGCTCACCTGAACAGCAACGACCGATCAGTCCACCGGCTGACGTGGGAGGGGCCAAACGGCACGTTGATTTGACCACAACTAAGCCGACCCCAAAGGGAACAAAGGTCACGCAGGCCTATCAGCGGTCAGCTCCGGGGAGGTCTAAGCCAGTCAGCGGCAAACAGGCAGGTCAAAGTTCGTGCGTCCAGCACGGCTATAATACGAGACAAGCGGCAAGACTGAATAACTCAAGACCCGAAAGTGCAACAATTACGCTACTCTGATGATGGAAACGAGGAAGTTTCCGAAACGTCAGTTCGAATACAATATGGTCCATGGATTCGCCCTCTCTTCTTCTTCGTCTTCTTCGGGAGATGATGAACGCGATATATATATACCAAGCCCTCCGGACGCAGCTCAACGAACTAAAGAGCAAGCGCGAAGTCAGGCCGGACGTGAATCCAAACACGGGAGAGCCTACGACGGACCTAAACGTAGCCACACCGCAAATCGGACCCGACGAAGGCGCAGTCATCAATGCTGTTGCCTCAACTACTACTCCGGCAGACGGGGAGAAACGCGGTCAGAGGGATGCAATTAAGACTAGCAACCCAGCACGACAATTAAGGTCAACGCGAATGCGGGCGATGGCCACCAACGTTCAAATGCCGCCCTCCGACGAGTGACAGGCAGATTGACAGCAGTCACCCTTCCTCCCGCTCTGCCCCGGCGACTACAGAGACGATCCCTGTGCGTATGCGGGCCATTAGCGCCAAAGCCGATTAACCACCTCCTCCCCCCCCCTATAATTACCACCGTGTTAGCATGACTGATATCCATCCCTATCCTATAAATACTGTGTGATGCCGTACGATACTCACCTCCGACGATGAAAGCTTGTCTGCTTTTGAAACGTCAGGACAATACAATCATGGTTTCCGAGATCGCCTCTTCTTCTCATTTATGTCCGGGGACTCGAATCTTCGCTTCTATTAGCAATATTTTCGGGCACGAAGCGCTTGAGTCAGCACGACGTTGGGAAACCTTTACCCTTCGTGTGTCATCTACGTACGCGCAAATTCAATTCCTCCATAGATGCCTTGACAATCATGTGCTTCCGAAGAGCCTGTCTTACAAGCCACCGGTAAACACAAGTCTGGCTAAACGATGGGTGATGCAACACGGCAGGCGAATGATCCGGGCGCTCCTTCAGGACTGCCATCTTCGACTGCGGAAATATAAAGGGGTTCTGAGCCAAGCGATCGCTAAATGCACTGATCTCATCGGCGAAGACGGAACTATGCTGTTGAAACAGACGATTGATAAACGGGCCAGAGAACTACGAGCAAAACGAGATACAGAGCTGGCAGATAAGCTTCGAAATATCAGCCGCACGTTTCAGGAGGAGAACGACGTCCTAGTCCACAATCTATCCTCCAAAGAGCTGACTCCTGAACAACTAAAAGTGCTGAGTCACGAGGCGTGCTTCAATACCACAGACGCCGATCCGGTCAACCTCGTGGCAACAGTGGAATCGATCCTCAAGCAAACCGAGGAATCCGACGAAACAAAACACCTCGTTCGGCAACAGGTAACCGCCTTGGTGATGGCCCACAAGCCACGCGCAAATATCACCAGAACGGAACAGGATGCTCTCAAGAAACTGAGGGCCGACACGAGCATTGTAGTACTGCCAGCAGACAAAGGGCGTTCTACAGTTGTCTTGGACAAGACCGACTACATTCAGAAGGCTAACAACCTGCTGGATGATCGACAGGCCTACCTCCGATGTGATGATGAGCCGATGAGGAAGCTGCTGACGCAGTTGGACAAAACGCTCGCTGAAATGCAAACGAACAAAGTAATAAGCAAGTCGATACGACTGGCCGTTAAACCAACAGATGCAGCCGCACCAAGATTCTACGGACTACCCAAAGTGCACAAGGTCGATGTCCCCCTCCGACCAATCGTGTCACTTCGCGGCGCGCCAACATTCAATCTGGCTAAATGGCTGTTCCGACACCTGAGACCTCTCACCTCAGGCGCAACCACAACGGTCTGTTCAGCTACTCAGTTTCTGGAACGGCTCAGAGGGACGCGACTCACTGCAGACGAGGTCATGGTGTCATTTGATGTCACCTCTCTCTTCACTTCAATCCCGCAGGACCTGGCCATCGAAACGGTCAGCGGATTACTCGAGAGGCAGTATGACGAGACGGACAAGTCAGTGAAGCGGAGACATCTAGTCCAACTACTAAAGTTCTGCCTGAAGACGTACTTCACCTTCGAGGGGACCATGTACGAACAAATTAAGGGGACGCCGATGGGATCGCCTCTCTCCGGCTTCATCGCTGAGGCAGTTCTGCAAAAACTAGAGAGCCTGGTTTTCACCACTCACAGGCCAAAGTTTTGGGCTCGGTACGTCGACGACACCTTCGTCATCATCAAGCGAGAAATGATTGAGGAATTTCACATCGTCCTGAATTCCGTCTTTCCTGACATCCAATTCACGATGGAGGCGGAAAACAACAACCAGCTGCCGTTTCTGGACGTTCTTGTCCATCGAAAGCCCAACGGGCACATAAAAACGACGGTGTACAGGAAGGCTACCAACACACGCCAAATCCTAAGCTATCACAGTAAATACCCGTTATGTCACAAACGCAGCTGTGTGCGAACTCTCTATAGCAGAGCAGAAACACACTGCAGCGAACCGGATGACAGAAGGACAGAACTCCGCTATCTTCAGCGCCTTTTCATGGCCAACGGATACCCCCGTAACTTCATCGAGCGCAGCAGGCAGTCTAAACCAGGCCAAAATCGAGTGACAGAACAGCCAAAAGTCTGGCGTGCACTGCCATACATCGACGGCGTCTCTGAGGCAGTTTCCCGCCTCCTAAGGCCCTTGGGGATCGGGATCGCTCATCGACCAGACTCAACCATTCGGCATTTGGTTATGAGACCGAAGGCCCCCCTGCCACGAGGTGAAACGACAAACGTCATCTACCGGGTCCAGTGTAACTCTTGCCATGCAAACTACGTCGGAGAGACAGGCAAACGGTTACAAAGTCGCGTTAACGAACACATGCGGGCAGTGAGGAGAATGGACCCATTGTCTCTGGTGGCGGAACACTGCGCGGACTCTAGACACACTTTTGCCTTCCAGAACGCCAAAATTCTGGGTCGAGGCAATGACCGCGTAGCCAGGGAAACGATCGAGGCCTGGCACACGGAGACAACCTCAATAAACCGTTGTGTCGCCCTTCCGACAGCCTACCAAGCCCTCCGGACGCAGCTCAACGAACTAAAGAGCAAGCGCGAAGTCAGGCCGGACGTGAATCCAAACACGGGAGAGCCTACGACGGACCTAAACGTAGCCACACCGCAAATCGGACCCGACGAAGGCGCAGTCATCAATACTGTTGCCTCAACTACTACTCCGGCAGACGGGGAGAAACGCGGTCAGAGGGATGCAATTAAGACTAGCAACCCAGCACGACAATTAAGGTCAACGCGAATGCGGGCGATGGCCACCAACGTTCAAATGCCGCCCTCCGACGAGTGACAGGCAGATTGACAGCAGTCACCCTTCCTCCCGCTCTGCCCCGGCGACTACAGAGACGATCCCTGTGCGTATGCGGGCCATTAGCGCCAAAGCCGATTAACCACCTCCTCCCCCCCCCTATAATTACCACCGTGTTAGCATGACTGATATCCATCCCCATCCTATAAATACTGTGTGATGCCGTACGATACTCACCTCCGACGATGAAAGCTTGTCTGCTTTTGAAACGTCAGGACAATACAATCATGGTTTCCGAGATCGCCTCTTCTTCTCATATATATATATATATATATATATATATATATATATATGGAAAGGTAATACCGACAAAGACAAGGGAGACCGGAATGGCCATTTCTGGCTTATTAGCCGTCATCAGCCAGTCATACCCAACCCCAAGTGTGGATCACTTGAGATTCGAACCCGGGATCTTTGGTCATGGAGTTGAACGCTCTACCATTGAGCCACGGGCCCGTTGTCCTGTCGGTTGTGATCGGGAATATTAATTATGATAGTGGGCGCTCACCGATCAGGTTACGGAACATGCTCGTTCCGTTGTGCCTTGGGGCTCATACTTAAACCCTCGCAGGCAGTCGCACAGCGACTAGTGATATATGTTGGAAAGGTAATACCGACAAAGACAAGGGAGACCGGAATGGCCATTTCTGGCTTATTAGCCGTCATCAGCCAGTCATACCCAACCCCAAGTGTGGATCACTTGAGATTCGAACCCGGGATCTTTGGTCATGGAGTTGAACGCTCTACCATTGAGCCACGGGCCCGTTGTCCTGTCGGTTGTGATCGGGAATATTAATTATGATAGTGGGCGCTCACCGATCAGGTTACGGAACATGCTCGTTCCGTTGTGCCTTGGGGCTCATACTTAAACCCTCGCAGGCAGTCGCACAGCGACTAGTGATATATGTTGGAAAGGTAATACCGACAAAGACAAGGGAGACCGGAATGGCCATTTCTGGCTTATTAGCCGTCATCAGCCAGTCATACCCAACCCCAAGTGTGGATCACTTGAGATTCGAACCCGGGATCTTTGGTCATGGAGTTGAACGCTCTACCATTGAGCCACGGGCCCGTTGTCCTGTCGGTTGTGATCGGGAATATTAATTATGATAGTGGGCGCTCACCGATCAGGTTACGGAACATGCTCGTTCCGTTGTGCCTTGGGGCTCATACTTAAACCCTCGCAGGCAGTCGCACAGCGACTAGTGATATATGTTGGAAAGGTAATACCGACAAAGACAAGGGAGACCGGAATGGCCATTTCTGGCTTATTAGCCGTCATCAGCCAGTCATACCCAACCCCAAGTGTGGATCACTTGAGATTCGAACCCGGGATCTTTGGTCATGGAGTTGAACGCTCTACCATTGAGCCACGGGCCCGTTGTCCTGTCGGTTGTGATCGGGAATATTAATTATGATAGTGGGCGCTCACCGATCAGGTTACGGAACATGCTCGTTCCGTTGTGCCTTGGGGCTCATACTTAAACCCTCGCAGGCAGTCGCACAGCGACTAGTGATATATGTTGGAAAGGTAATACCGACAAAGACAAGGGAGACCGGAATGGCCATTTCTGGCTTATTAGCCGTCATCAGCCAGTCATACCCAACCCCAAGTGTGGATCACTTGAGATTCGAACCCGGGATCTTTGGTCATGGAGTTGAACGCTCTACCATTGAGCCACGGGCCCGTTGTCCTGTCGGTTGTGATCGGGAATATTAATTATGATAGTGGGCGCTCACCGATCAGGTTACGGAACATGCTCGTTCCGTTGTGCCTTGGGGCTCATACTTAAACCCTCGCAGGCAGTCGCACAGCGACTAGTGANGTCTTTGTCGGTAATACCATTCTGCCTATATATCATGCGCCGCTGTGCGGCTGCTGGTTGGGCTCGAGAGAGAGTCCATAAGGCACAACGGAACGAGTGAGTTCCGTATGAACGATCGGTGAGCGCCCCCTAACATTATATATATATATATATATATATATATATGTTGAGAAGATGTCGGTGTCATCTTCTCAACATATATCACTAGTCGCTGTGCGACTGCCTGCGAGGGTTTAAGTATGAGCCCCAAGGCATAACGGAACGAGCATGTTCCGTAACCTGATCGGTGAGCGCCCACTATCATAATTAATATTCCCGATCACAACTGACAGGACAACGGGCCCGTGGCTCAATGGTAGAGCGTTCAACTCCATGACCAAAGATCCCGGGTTCGAATTTCAAGTGATCCACACTTGGGTTTGGGTATGACTGGCTGATGACGGCTAATAAGCCAGAAATGGCCATTCCGGTCTCCCTTGTCTTTGTCGGTGTCATCTTCTCAACATATATATATATATATTAAGTGAATAACTTCAGAAATTACTCAGTGCAGGACTTTGAGTTAAATCTCCGGAACATGACGTTTTTATGGTCAGAACCGAAATTTCAATGAATATTCGAGTCGAAGACAATCAACTACTGTGGAATAACCACGTAATGCCCATTTTAAAAACAAGTATTACTACGAGTAGTATGGAATCCACATGGCAAATGTATTATACCGTACTCCCGAAATAGGTACTTGCTAAACTCCCAGACACGTGTTTCGCCGATATTCTGCTGCTGCTTGACACAGCTGCGAGGGGTTCGGCTCTTCAATGTGACTTTACTTTTTGACCCCATGCTGTGAGCGCCGTCATAACTACCTGTATTGAGTTTGATAGAGACACCGGCTGCTATCGCCTGGTGTTAACGCCGCGACTCCATCCTTTTGATGAGCATCAGTTATATTCCGCCTTTCGCACTTCCCCTTGCTTCCATCCCCCCAGCCTGCCTGAAACCTATGTAAGGTTATGCAGCGCAAAGCAGTGATGCACTTATCAAATCTGTGTATCCTTCGGTCGAGTCACTCCTGTTCCCCCTTTTCATTTGGTCTATCGTCTCCATCCCGCAATAGCATCCACGAGTCTTCCAGAAGGCCAAACCCGAAGGCTTTTATTGAAATTTTGTCCTTTTCGTCTATTTTGGAATCTTCCTTGTGCCTATGTAGTAGGTTTGAAAGTTTGTCTAATATCCTTCATCTGCTAATTAAGTCACTTCCGCCGTTCGGTTGGCGACGAGGATCGCACGAGCAATACTTTTGCCATTGATTATTAATAAGTAACAATGATGTGCTGTATACTTATTATTCTTATTGTCATCTTCTAGGACCTGCGAAATGAGTTGCTCCCGCTATCCCCGGGGCCGATCACGCTAGGCGACGTGCCGCTTTGCCTCTACGTGCCACTTCTCTGGCCGTGTTGTGAGCGCGAACTGCTTTACATTCAGGTGGATGTCGTCCAGGGTCTGCTGCGTACCTCCCTAGCCGGACTTACGAATCCGACCCCAACAGTTACTTGTTTCGGCGCTAGCGGTGGGAGTGGGGAGGACGCCCTCTGCCACGTGCTTTCACAACCTGCAGTCAACTTTCGCAGTCTCCTGCGCCGATTGGAAGAGGCCCTTAACCGACCGGCAGTTCGACGCGTCATCTCCGATGGCAGTAGTGAGGAGCCGGTGAGTGCCGCTGTTCGGAGTCGCAGTCTGCGTGCTCTAGCCAATGAGGAGGCTCGTTGGCAGGCCGAGCTGGTGGAAACTCTGAACAACCTACGCTGCCTGCTTGGGCAGGCGCGCGTCGCCGCTGCCGTTAACAGTCACCGGCGCTTCTGCCACTCAGTGCCGCGAAACAGTCTGCCCTTGGTGATACCGGCGGACGGTGGCGGCACCAGTGCGCGATCAGTCTTGCCCTGTCTGGACCTACTGAAGAGGATGTATCAGGGCAAGGCCGCACTTACCTTTGTACGTCTCTTCCCCTGTGACGAGTACTACCTGGTCTGCGAGACTGTGCTGTCTGGTGCACTAGATGTTGCCTATCGCTACTACCTTCTCGTCTGTGCGCCCATTCCCGCCTCCACGGAAGTCTACTTCAACGCAGATGGTGTTATGGTGTATACGAAAAGGTTGTGGACTACACCTGGCGTTGCTGGTGGAGGCCTTGGTCATTCGACATTGAGTGATACTTATCCGGGTCTCCTGTTAAGAGTGACTCACTTCCTGCCTCTCGGCGGTCGCCAGTTGTGGCCAGTAGGACAAACGTTTACGGTAAGCTATCCGTTTATGTGTAACCTATTTGTTACATTCTGTTCAACTTCATGGCTTTCCATAAGACTTCATCCGCCCT